GAATCTTATAGGCACCACGACCAAGTTCTGTCTTATATCACAGATTGTCGTTAGTTCCGACAAATTGGTTCAAAAATAATAAATATAATTTGCTAGGAATTGTTTCAAATCTTAGCTTAAATAAATCTGATAAAAACTGGAAAAATGCTAAAAATGTTGGACTTGGCATATTTACCACCAATAAATGTCCGGAGGGTATGTTCTTCCTCTTGGCTGGAGCCATAAACCATACTTGCATCCAGAAATGACGTAATCTCGTTAATCTGGTTATCCACTTCACTATCTTCATAGTTAAAATAGAAGAAAAAACATACATGTATTTATGTATAGTTCAACAATTATTCAAAATATATGGTGGCGTATTTAAAACACTTTAGTGCGTCGTGCTAGCGACAGCACGGTAAAGCGCCAACGGCGCTTTGCGGATTTCGTCTTGTTGTCCTGTCGCTAACGATGCACGCCAAACGTCACATTGTCACTCGCCTTAAATCGAAAAATTGGCTATTTGTATATATATATAAGCCAAGCGACAGGATGACATTGCGACAACGTGCCGCACGACAACGCTCCGTTTGACGTGCTTCGCTAGTGGCAGAACGACAACACGCCATTCGGTGCGTGTTGCTAGCGACAAGACAAGACGAAAAGGCAACTGTGTTGTTGCTATCGACAACGCAACGCGTAAAGTGTATCATATCAGCCACCATAAAAATATGCGTACAGCGTTAAATGCTTAAATATAGTGCTATAAGTTCGACCCTCGATTTTGAATCTTTTTGACAATTTCGCAAAAGCATAACGTTCTCCCATGAAAGGCTGGTATATAAACATAGGCGTTATTATTATTTCTAATATTATTATTATATAAGTTGTTGTTGTAGTAGTCAATATAAATGAATTTCCATTGGTCATGTTTGCAATTTGCGCAAATGTTATATTAATGGAAAATATCGGGCTTTATACAATACATAAGCATAATAATAGATTTGTATTGAAAGTCAATTGACGTAATTTCTTATTCTTATACTGGGGGGGGGGGGGGGGGAGGGGGAGTTTAACTTGTGTTTAAGTTTAACCCATGAAACAATAATAAAGAAAAGCTTCAACACAACAGCAATCACAACATGATTATAGCCTTCAGGACCACAGCCACAACCAATTCATCCAATACTAAATGGTTATGTTATACAAATAATTCTTTCCCACGTCGAAATCCCATCGTCAGAACCCACGGTACACTCTCCGTAGGTACTACATTTAATGCGGTAAATAGCATTGGTAACCAAGGATGGGCGAATCTCTAGCGAGGTCGATTTGAACAATATTATTGAAATTGTCAAAAGCTCGAGATTTCTTTCGATCTGTTTGAGCCAGGTCACCAGTGTAGTTATCAGCATATAGAGACATTGTTTAGCACTTGATATATATTTTACTTTAGCATGACTCTGAAATGTGACCTTGTTGAACTTGTGAAAATCAGAAAATTTGGAACCTTGGTACTTATAAGGTATTTTTTTTCTAAAATTATTTTTTACACTAACGATATATTGTGTTTCCTTGAATAGACCAGACATTCTTAGAGAAAGACCTGAAATAATAATAATAAAATTTTGATACTACAAATTAATTAAAATTCTTACTGTCACATTGAAACAATGTGAAACTCCTGCGGCCCTCAACACAATAATCTTGTGCGAAAAACTTCTCATCTGGATCTTCAAAAGTAACCGGAAGACAATATTTCCTGAAAATAGAATATGAATTCATAGATTTAGGTACTTATATAGCATTACTACGGAACTGTCCTGCTGCCAATTTAATATGTTCTATAAAAAAAGATAACTCCTACGTAGGAGATAAAAAAGCCTAATATAATATAAATTATAACTCCTGGACTTTATAAGTCTTACATAGGACTTTATAACTCCTACGAAGGCCTTTATAACTCCTAATTAGGAGTTTATAACCCCTACGTAGGACTTTATCATTTGTGTTTTTAAACCTTAGGAAATGAATTATTGGCATTACTTACAATTAAATTATGTTGCAGTATTTTACGTTATAATGATATTAAGCAGGTTACATTATTAGTTATAAAGATTTTTGACAGGTTAAATGGCCTTTTATAAACGGTTGTTTGCTTTTATATTAAAAACAGCCGTTTATAAATTATGTATGGTCATATAGCATGATAAGAAGCTTAATGACAAATTTGTATATTTCTTTTATTTAAGAACGAAAAATGAAAAGAAATTACTTCATAAATTGACGATAATGTGTATACTATGGTGGCTGATTTGTGCCATGTATTTTCCCTCCTCCAGGCACCAGGCGAGAACACGAAAATACGACATTGACACCGCTTTGTCGTATTATCGCGTTTTTGTCTTTTCGCCCCGCGAAGTGAAAGTATGACAAAAAATGACTTTCTCGTATTTGCGTGAGTTCGTCAGCGTCCCAATAAGCGAAAGCGAAAATTCGACAAGGTACAAATCAGCCACAATAGTATATAATTATATAAATTAACTTCTCAATAATCTTCTAAAAACCAGCGTTACAAACGAGCAGTATTATATACATTTAGTATATTTAAAATTGGCTTAAGGTTTATATCATTCGAATACCCTACATACGACGGTTATATAGCACGCAAAATTTTATTCATGGTCAAAACGCTTGTCAAAAGAATTAAAGATGAATTAATAATATTTCAATTAGCAATGTAGCTCTCTATAAATAATTTTAAAAAATAAGATCAATTGATAATTCTGCAGCAACTTTTTTTATTATTATAATTTTATTTGCAACTTGATTTAAATGTATTGAATGATTATTTTATATCTAAAATTTGTCATCTTACCTAGTCTTGTCAGGCTTCTTGCAACACTCTTTCCTATTCCGTACATGTCCTGTAAAAGTAAATGAAAGGTATTTTAAAGGACTACTTTAAAGGCACATAATACCTCAGTAACATATTTTTCTTTACTTCTTTAAATAGGGAAAACATGAACTTTATTATGATAATAATGTATCAATATTATGTAAGATACTTGCAACTTTAAGAAAGTAGTGATAAATTTGAACTAACCTGTCATTAAAGTAGCAAAAATGTAAACAAAGTAGTTTTTTGACTTTCATATAACATACTAATTCATAATTATATATAACACTTATCAACAAAATGCGACCGATGAAAAAAAAATGGTGCAGATAATTAGCCAATGGGTATATATTTGGTACTATTAAAGTACACCAAAATTAAAAAGCTTTGGAGAAATAAAAATAAGAGCATTTCTGAGACAATATTGGCCTTTAAAGAAAATTTAAATATGTATATAGAGAGTCTGGCATGAGTTGATAAAAGATATATATTTTTAAAGAAACAGTTTCAGGAGAATGTAAATCCTTAGACTGCTAACGGCAATACATTCTATTTTATGATTAGTATGATATCTTATCGTGTTATTATAAACGTTTTACTAGTCTCATATAATTGTCATTTACTTTTCTGTGTTTTATGTTTGCTTATGAATTTTATTTGTGTATGTACATGAATGAGACTTAAATAAATAAATAAAAATTCTACCCTATGCAACCGGCGCAGAGCAAGATCAAAGTCTGCACTGTTCACTATTCAATAAGTATTTATTCTGAACTTTTCTCCTCAAAATAATGAATGGTTTTGTCCAGATAAATACAAGGGACAGGTCCATTTAAGATATTTAGCGTGTACACGTTTTCTTACCTTCTTGGGTTTTGGCAAGGTCGTGATCAATGAACTGCATGAAGTAAAATAAAGTGATTGTTGTCCCCTTTCGGTGTTGGCGTACTGTGAACAGATAAGATTGTGCTCTTTTGTATGGAGATGGGGTATCCATCTGGCATTTATCCTTCTTATTTTTTAATCACGTCTGAGAATTGTATGAGCGGCTCCTACAGAGATACCAACGCATTTAGCTATATACCTAGTTGTAAATTTTGCATCAGTAGCAATCAAATCTTTTACTTTTTCAACCATGCTTGGCGACGTTGCCGTTTTCTGACAACTAGCACGAGATGCATTTTTTACTGAATCCACACGATTTGTTTTTACAAAATTTCTTACACCACCGCGTGACAGATGAAAAAAGAAAGTCTATTGTTCCAATAAACACGACATATTTATTAAAATGTCTTTCGACAGTTTACCAAGAATATGTTTGTCCGTAATGAGCGTATTTGGTCAATGAAAGGAGACCTTTTCCCAACCTATACAAGTATACACGAGTAACAGTAGATAGCGTTAATCGAACTATTTGCAAAGCTATACAGAACTGTTTTACACATGTATTGTATCAATTGAATGCTTACACAACCATCTATACGATACATGTACATAGTTCGTTAAAAACGTGGTTAAAAGCGAGATATTGGCCTAGTTGCTTTCATATTTGAACAGCCCTCATATATATCATAAGAAACCACTTTCCATAGAAATTCCTACCTCTAAGTTTAGACTTAAAGTCTGAGGATCACAAAACAGAAATATTTCAACATCATGAAAAAGTGGTGTGTGACATAAATGTGCGTCAGAGCGCGAGAATATCGACATATGGCGGCATGCTAATGCAGGCACAGGGGTTTCTGTCAATTTTTTCCTTTCCCACTATATATATGATATAACAAGGTATACAACTCAAAATTGCTCAATTCATGAAAAAGTAAATACAACGCAGTATACAACAGTTTTTTTTCTTCTGATTGTTGGACATTGATAAAAGAATAGATAATTTAAAAAAATGACTCACTTTGTTACATGGACAAGATATTATCAAAAATAACCTTTCCACACTGGCCATAGCTTTCGCAGAAGCGGTGGGTCTACCGGTGCGGCGATGGAGATTTCGTCGCAGAAGCGGTGGAAAAACATGGCTGTCGGATAGATTTTTGCTGGTGTCGGTAAGTTTATGACTTATTTGTACGTTATGTTTTTATGTTCTACTGATAACACCTAGTGAGACTGGAGCCCACATATGTACTCTTCCAACTTATTACACGCATGGGGTGCAAATCATGACCAGTTATGCAAACACTTCTGTACAGTTTGACGAGGGGACGCCACTTTTGCCTAATTTTGTTTATAACACTACATATGCACTAAAAACTACCCCTAGATACACTGGCATCGCATCGTATGTATGATAATTACACAAAACAACCATATTTTGGAACTTTTTGAAATTGATATTACCATTTTAATAAAAGAATTGACAAAAATTGATTACAACGCAGACGGTGGTGGATTCGATTGCAACGCAGTGCGGTGGGCCCGATATCATTTATATCTTTTTTTAACGTTAAAGTCACAAACACTTAGGAGTTGAGCTCCAAACACCTAAAAATACAAATGAAATATATATTTGTTAATCCTAACACATATAGTTGTTATATATATCAATGAAAGTAAATATACGCTCTTTTTGCATCATGAACCTTATAAATATTTTTAAATAAAACGATCCCTGTTTTAGATACTAGTTTAACATATTGGGGTGTATGTTAACTACATTTATCACACACCCGTGCCGATTTTGCGACTCCGTAAATATGGTATGGCACGGCCGTGCATATATTTTGACGTGACGTCATTAGCGTTATGCTAACATAGTGTAAAGACGCGTTAAATGTTAGCGTTATACTATAGGCGCGTCAATGAAAAATGACTCTTATTTCACTTTAAACGGTCTCTATTTTGGGTATGTGATAAATAGAATATTAAATTCGTGTAAGTTCATTACTGAGTTTATTTCACTCGTTGAAAAAATTAATATAATGCTCGCCAGAGGCTCGCATAATATAATTTTATTCAACTCGTGCAATAAATTCAGTATTGAACTTACACATAAACTATGTATGGGTTGTTTAAAAATTCATTATAATGTATACATTAATTTTTTTTTTTTCTATTTTCAATCTATGCATCATGCACCTTATCAATATGTTTTTATAAAACAATCCCTGTTTTAGATTCTAGTTTAACATATTGGGGTGCATGTTAACTATGAAGTGCTTAAATGTTAATTTTAACTTATAAATTGAATTAAAAAATACTTAAAGTTTGTATTTTCTTTACAAACTATGCATTCATTTAACTTATAAAATGTCTTGATAAATTGAATCCCAGTTTGGACACTAGTTCAACATATTGAAGTATATGTTAACTATGTATCGCTGAAATGTTAATTATAGCTTTAATTGAATTTAATCTATCAATTTAACAAATCAAAATGTTTTTGTAGTTTAACACACAAGAGTCATCATTAACTATGCATTATTCTAACACGACCCGTATTTTTCCCTATTGAACATAGAAGAACCGAAAGTGTGTGTTATTATGCTATAAAGTCACTGTTTGACGTTCTATATTTAGATATGTGACGTTATCATTATACACGTGACGTAACCACTAAAAATGTGACGCTCTGAAAATAAGTACGAAAACAAATCAAGCGCAATTTTGCTTAATATCCGGTACAGCAGCATTTATTTGTTGATATCGTTATATAAATTAAATTATAACATTAAATTATATCAAATTTTTATTTAACGTGTACAAAGCTATAAACAGGCTGCATGTAATATAAAAAATTATAGAATGCATTTTGAAATAAAATATTACAAAATACTTGACAAAAAAAGAACAGACGAAAATGTTGTTTATTGGCCTATGAGCGAATTGCACATGCACGCGTTCAAATTATCGTATATTTTTGTTTGTTTGTAAATTCTAATTGTAATCTTTAAGTCAGAATTTAAATTGTCGCTCTTTCGTTTTCGTTGCTTTTCATGGTCTGTCGTTCCTCTGGTTGAACAGTTTGGTCAAAGTATTTATTAGCATAAACATATATACATGTTTCTCGCCACACATAATTGGCGGTTATATTAACAAAAGTAATATAATATTGAAAAGTATGAAAATATATAATTCATGTTTCATGTTCATGTTTTAACTAAAGATGGGCAGTTTTAAAGGGAGACACAGGCAAAATTTTCATTTCTATGTTTTGAATTTTTCTATCATTATTCTGTAAATGTCATCAAAATGAATACACTAAACAGTCAAAGGAACAAATCTTTTCTCCTTGTAGAGAATAAGATGGTGGTTTCCTAACTTGATCCGCGTAAGTCAGGTAAGAGGGTTAAGATTCAACAATAGTTCTCGAAGTGAACTCTGGAAACGTTAAAGAACATGTGAAATGAATGGCTTAGACTTGTTTTGATCATAAAATATCCACAATATATGTTATTGTAAATTCCAGGGTTTGTTCAAATCACATGACTTGTTTTAAATTTACTTGGCGATTTTGTTGGCGTCTAAATTTCGTTCAACATAAATAGATATATTTTCGCTTCAAACCCCAAATATATAGTATTTATACAGAAATTCATGCTGGGACTTTAAGAAATGTCATTTTAGTGTGATTTCAGTACACAAGATCCTTTTTATATTTTTGTCATTATTTTGCCTGAGTATCCCTTTAAGTACATATAAACACATGCAATACAAGACATGTCATATTTAACATATCTAATAATATACAGCAAAAATATGAAAAATAGTTTAAAGAAATACATATTTTATTATACAACAACACTCCCGTTTCTCTTCTTTAAAGCCAGATAGACAAATTCTGCAAGTTTAATTATAACAGATCTTTTGGTTGTTGACATAAGCTTATTGAATTTATTCATATTAGGCCATGTGTAATAATAGTTATCTAAAACAGTTAAACGTAATTCTCTATAAAAAGGACACGTTCTATGTCCGGAGATTTATGGAAACCCCATAATTCAGATCCGTAACATAAAATTGGTAATACCATTGAATTAAAGAGTTTTAATTTATCTTCAATATCTAATTTAACATTATCAAAAAGGGAGTTCAAAGAATAAAGAGCCTTTAAAGCTTGGGCAGACAATGATTTTTGAGCTTGATAAAAACTTCCATTAGATGATAGCGTTACTCCTAAATAAGTAAATGTTTTAACTTGTTTTAAAATTTTATTGTCATACTTAAGCGACATATTTGAAGGTCTATTACCTTGTCTAAAAACCATTACAACTGTTTTATCTGAATTAACTTCAATACCCCATTTCCTACAATAATTATACAATTTATTAAGTAGAATTTGTAAACCTTGTTCAGAGTAAGAAAATAAAGCAGTATCATCTGCGAGCAACAACAAATAAATTTTTAATTCCTCAATGGCAAAAACATCTATACTATCGTCAGCTAAGTGATCTTGCATATCATTAATAAACATAATAAACAACAAGCCCATGTAACTATCAAAAAAGTCAGTTAGTGAGCCATTATTACGTACACATAATTTCACACCCTCATACATGCTTCTTAGAATTTTTAACATTTTACCTGATAGTTTGGTGGTTTTTGTTGTCCAACTTTGTGTCATCTATTATTATAACGTTTGCTACAAATGTTTTCTATATGAAAGCGTATTTGAAGTTTCTGATTAATCTTTTGATTATATCATAATATATTCTTAGACAATAAAGACGTCTGGCTCTGCCAGACATTATCAATCAAATTTCTATGATTGTATTTTAACTCTACTGAGGATGACACAAATTAACAAAGAGGAACATGTACCGTGGTAAAAGTAAAACATAAATACATTTCCAAACTTTTCATGAAAATAAACATGAATATTTGTATTTTAACTCTACTGAGGATGACACAAATTAACAAGGAGGAACATGTACCGTGGTAAAAGTAAAACATAAATACATTTCCAAACTTTTCATGAAAATAAACATGAATATTGAGGCGTGCTGCTTTAAAATCCTAATAATTGTATATTTATTAATTCCAGCCCAT